TTTTTTTTTTTTTTGAGACAGAGTCTCACTATGTCACCCTCAGTAGAGTGCTATGGCATCACAGCTCACAGCAACCTCAAACTCTTGGGCTTAAGTAATTCTCTTACCTCAGTCTCCCAAGTAGGAGACTGCAGATGCCTACCCACCACAACACCCGGTTATTTTTTGTTACAGTTGTCATTGTTGTTTGGCAGGCCCAGGCTGGATTCGAATCCACCAGCTCTGGTGTATGTGGCTGGTGCTGTAGCCGCTGCGCTACAGGTGCCAAGCCAAGTATTTTCTAATTTCCATTATGATTTCTTATTTGGTCCATGAGTTATTTAGAAACTTTAAAAAAAAATCTAAAGAGATGAGATTTTTATTTTCTAGAAATATTTTTGGTTTGACTTCTAGCTCATTTGCACTCTGGTCACGTAACATAGGCTGATTTAAATTAATTTTTTAAAAATCTATTGAGACATTTTTATGGCCTCTGTGCAGCCACCCTCCGGTTTTTCTATGGACTGTCATAATGAATGTGTAGCCTCCAGGCATTGAATATGATTAAGGCTATAAATTATTTTTTAGAAAAGTTCTGTAATCTTTGATGACTTTTGTCTTCTTGATCAATCAGTTACTAAGAGGAGTGTTTTAAAATTCTCCCACTCTGTCAGTAGTGGGAGAATCCTTGCTTTCTATATTTGAAGTTGTACTATTAAGACACACCGGCTAGACTTGTGCCTAACAGAGCAAGTTATTTCCCAGTATTAATCATTTTTATCTCCAGTAATTCTTTCTGCCTTAAAGTTAATTTGCCTGTGATGAATATAGCTATATCCAAGAACTTCTGTTTTGTCTTTTTCCATACTTTTGTACTTAAAATCCACTCATTTAGCCTGAGTGTTTCATCCACTTGTGTTACGATTATTTATTTATCTTTTAAAAATATTTTTGAGACAGAGTTTCACATTGTCCTCAGTAGAGTGCTGTGGCATCACAGCTCACAGCAACTTCCAACTCCTGGGCTGAAAGCAATTTTCTTGCCTCTGCCTCCCAAGTAGCTGGAGCTATAGGTACCTACCACAATGCCTGGCTAGTTTTTTGGGTTTTTTTTTTTTTCTATTTGTAGAGACAGGGTCTCACTCTTGTTCGGGTTGGTCATGAACTCTAGAGCTCAGCCAAAGTCTGAAATCCACCCACCTCGGCCTCCCAGAGTGCTAGGATTACAGGCATGAGCCACTGCACTCAGCCTTTGTGTCATGATTATTGATGGATTTGGATTCCTTCCTTCCTTCCTTCCTTCCTTCCTTCCTTCCTTCCTTCCTTCCTTCCTTCCTTCCTTCCTTCTTTCTTTCCTTCCTTCTTCAGAGCCTCAAGCTTTTGCCCTGAGTGGAGTGCTGTGGTATCACAGCTCACAGCAACCTCCATCTCTTGGGCTTAAGCTATTCTCTTGCCTCAGCCTCCCAAGTAGCTGGGACCACAGGCGCCTGCCACAATGCCCGGCTATTTTTTGGTTGTAGTTGTCATTGTTATTTGGCAGGCCTGGGATGGATTCGAACCCGCCAGCTCTGGTGTATGTGGCTGGTGCCTTAGCTGCTTGAGCTGCAGGCGTTGAGCCTTGGATTACTTTCTATCACCTTATTTTGTGTTTTCTATTTGTCCTAACTTTTTCCTAATTTCCCCCTTTCCTGTCTTTTTGCGAATTGACTGGACTTTTTTCTCTTTCCAATCTTTCCCTTCTTTAGAATGTAAAGATTATATCTAGACATTTTTTCATTACATGTCTGTCCTTCTTTAGAATTTAAAGAAATTCCGATTCTGTATTTTTAGAAATTTTAACATGTACATTTAACTTAACTAAATCTAATGTTGATCTCTTTACTGAGCTATCACTCACCTGCTAATGAGCTCTCCGACTATTGAGCACTAATCTAGGTCTACATTAAGCACAGTTTTGTGTTCTAGAGAAATCTACCCCATCAAGAAAGCTGAGCCTCCTAGTAATTTAGCTATGTACTCTGTTTCATCCAGGGTCTCTCAAGAGTCAGCATTGGAAATTGCGTTTTGATTGTGGAGCCAAACATTTTAGAGATGGGACATATTTCCCCCCTTTACTCCTTTAAGCCCTGGTATCTTCCCACTTGCCCATCTTCCACACTCTGAGCCATTCTGAGTCCAGCGAGGATTGCAAATACCTTGACAGATGTCAAAGCCAATGTTTCGGAAGGTCCCAGTGACTGATTCGCCATCCTCTTCATGCCACTTGTACAACTGAGACACTCTGTACTTTTGCCTATTCATAGAAACACCATAGAAACCCTGTTACGTTTGGCAAAAAGGGACAAGGACCTGGGGACAAGCTATGTCTCTGTTTTCGGCTGCTCCACTGTCCACCTCGAGGATGAAGTGATTGAAGACAGAGGGATGGAAGAGGGAGCGTTGGTGGCTCACCTGTTTGCTTCTTTCTTGGAGCGCAATGTGAGCACCAGAAGGATGACAAGGATGGCCAGCACCACCACAGCCCCTGCCCCCAGGAGCCCGTACACCAGGCTCTTCTGGATCCCTGTATCGCAGGTGTCCCCTGTGTACCAGTGGGTGTCTGTGGTCAGGCAACTGAGAAGGGAGAGAGGAGAGTCAGCACCAGCCTACTACCTGGCCCTGCCTCAGGAGGTGTTGCGTGAGGACAAAATGACAGAGAGATGATTGGTGCAAAGCAAGGAACCCCAAGGGACGGGTAGAGGTGAAGGCTAGCATCCATGGAGCTGGCCCTAACTGAGCCCAGCAACCACTCCAGGCCTTCAGGTTTTGCTTCCAGGAGTAGCCCAGGACCTAGGACAAGTGGCCCAGTGCCAAGGCTCTCCTGGGCTGCAACCCCAGGGACTAGAGGACTCTCCAGTAACCCTTCCACCAGCCCATCAACCATCCTCATTCCCAGTTCTCCTTTCTATCAGGAAAAGCCACCCCTTAGCCCCAATCTAGAGTTCCTGTTCCACGCCTGAAGCCCTTCCTCCCCAGAGATGCCCTGTCTGAGCCCTGGTCTCTTCTTCCACATGCCAGCTATAAAACCTTCCAGGAAGCCTTCCCAGAATAACTACTCAGGCTGTGCACATGGGTGGCTCCTTCTCCACACTCGCTTCTCCCATGGTCTCTGTCCCTCTGGTTTGGTTTCAGGTAGCACAGCACCTTCCTTGGCCTTCTTCTCTCTGTGACTGGGCTTTACCATCCCCTGCCCACATGGGTGTGTGGCCCTCTTTCTCTATTGTAGTCCTCCCTGTGGGACCTGGACCTTGTCACCATCTTGCTCAGCCCCAGTAGGACACTGGGAAGGGCAGCTCCTGAGCTGGCCTTGGCCTCTTCTGGACCCAGCCTTGGGGCTGGAGCTTGTGTGTCCTCTGGACCTTGTCACCAGTCTTGCTCAGCCCCAGTAGGACACTGGGAAGGGCAGCTCCTGAGCTGGCCTTGGCCTCTTCTGGACCCAGCCTTGGGGCTGGAGCTTGTGTGTCCTCTACCCCGCCAACCTGATTCATCTGTGGCTGGATGCAGTCGGGAGGCCTGGGACCTGGCTAGATTCCACAGTTCTGGCCTCCAGGAAGTGTTCAGGGTAGAGTCACAAGGAGAGGGGTGGAGGGTGGGGCACTCACAAGCACTTTGGGCCACTGTGTCTCATCAGGCACTTGCCAAAGTTACAGGCCATTGAGAAGTTGAAGCCAGACATGCAGGGGTTGATGCAGTATGGCTGTTGGTTCTTGTATTCCACTGTGAAGAAGTGGCTGAGGTTCCCAGCGTTTTTCCGGCATTCCTCTGAGGGCACAACAAGCAGCTGTAGTCAGAAGGGCTGGGGACACCATCTGCCACCCCCCACCTCCCCTCACATTACCTACCTAGAGGGTCATACTGGGTCACTGTAATGTTCTGCACCTTGGTGGCAGTCGTGTTGAAACACAGTAAGGCTGTGGAGGAGACACATAAAGTCCCTTATGACTGACTGGTTTCTTGACCTCATGGCTGTGGGGTATGTGGGGGAGGGAGGGGGAACCAGCTCCTGCAGAGTGGGGCCTCCTGACCTCACATCCAGCCTTCTAGAATGGTGACCCTACACGGGTCCTGTGTCCCTCATGTCCTTCTGCTCCAAGGTCCCTCTGCCATAATCCACACACTGCTCTTTATGTTTAGAAGAGTCTGTAGCAGTGTGGTGCTAGTCTCTGTTTTCCAGCAGACCCTTCTGGCCTGCACCTTAGCACTGGTGCCACCTGGAATGTAGCCAGCATGTGTGCCTGGCCTTGTAGACTCTTTCCCAAGGTTCTTCTGGAGTCTGCCAGTCTGAGCAGCAAGCTTTAGGACCTGTTCCTGGATCTTGGTGTTCTCCCCGGTCTCTTGCTGCCTCTTCCCTCCCACATCCCAGGGACAAAATGGGCCAGGGGATGACAAAGTTTAAGGATTCTCTTTCCTCCTCCTCAGAGGCCTAGAAGTTTACCTGGGCAGGAATTATTACTCATTATTTGCTCCCTGGTCACATTCAGGATCTTTTCTTCTACCTTCTCAGAGGCCTTCTTCAGTATGTCCTTATATTCTACAGTATACTTGGCCTTCAGAATGACGTCATGCTCCACCACCACACTGCCAGGTCTAGGGGCAAAAGAGGGGAAGAGATATCCTCAGGTCAAAATTGGTACCTATGTAAGCCCCTTTGGCCAGCACCATTGAAAGAATTTCACAGAGTTGGGGTTGATCACCGGGGAGAGGTTTATGGGGCAGAATCCCACTATGGCTGAGCAGAAGTGAATATGGGACAATCATGGACTTGGAGACCCTTTTCCCTGGGGGTGTCCCTCCCTATGCTAAATTAATTGGCTTCATCTCTGAAGACTAAGCTGTAGCTCCCAGGTTTTCTGGCTTGTCAGTCTGTCCCTGATATAACAGGACTTCTTTTTGTATCTTGTCTCTACCACTCTATAACAGACCACTCAGGCAACTTATTGTATTTCTTGGAGCCTCAGTTTTTTTTATCTCCACAACAGAAACAGTCCTACTGGCCTCTGTCATGGGGTGGTTATAATCAGCCAAATGCAAAAGCATTTGTTAGGGGAATAATGGGCTGAATTATGCTCTCACCCAAAATTCATGCATTGAAGACCTAAGCCCTTGAACTTCAGACTGTATTTGAAGATAGGGTCTTTAAAGAGGTAATTAATTTAAAATGAGGCCATCAGGGTGGGCTGTAATTGAATCTGATAGTGTCCATAGAAGAAGAAGAAATTTGGATATACAAAGAAACAGCAGAGATGTATGCCCACAAATGAAAGTCCTCCTCTCACACGGGAGGTCTGTGTGAGAAGGCAGCCATCTGCAAACCAAGGAGGGAGACCTTAGGAGAAACCAAACCCACTGACACCCTAATCTCAAATTTCCAGCCTCTAGAACTGCATGAAATAAATTTCTGTTGTTAAGCCAGTAGATCTGGCTTAACAATAGAAATCTGAGCAGAGTAACACAGGGGCACAGCTATAATCACATCAATAATCACGACAACTGACTCTACTCCACAGACCCTCTTGCTACAGATACTCACTTCAGCTTTGTAATGTTGACCCCTGCATACTCAGGGATTCCAGAGTAAACAAGGTCCATCTGAAAGGTAAGGGGACACCATGTCATTTCTGGGGACCTACCTTGGAGCCTGCCAAGCCTTTCTGTGGGACAGCAGGAGGGCAGAGGATGGCTGTTTTGTCCTGCAGCCCATCCTGATCTACATCCCAAACTTGCCATGTTCACCAAATGAAGCAGACCCTTTCTAGCATTCTGGCCTGCCCCAGGGACCCCTGTAGCCCCCAGTGAAAACTGGCTTCATCTATCCCTTCCCTCCCTGGCAAATCACACGTGCGTCTGAGAAGAGAAGGGTTCTCAGATGATTTCTCAACCCCTGCACGTTCTTCCCTACAGGGGTAGCTGAGTGGCCATGGGGCCTTGTGCTCCCAAACTCACCTGTTCCGTGAATGTCTTATTGAACTCCTGGAATTTCTTGGAAGATAGATCTTCTAGATCTTTAGTGAACTCCTGACTGGTCACTGTCACTGTCATTTCTACTTGGGCTGAGACTGTCTCTGGTGGCTCTGAGAGGGATAGACAGCAGCAGCACTGAGCAAAGTGTACCTTGAGCCACCTAAGCAGGAGACCTGCACCCCAGCAACAACGACCTAGTGACCTGAGCCTCCCCGGCCCCCTTCTCTGACCCTTGCCTCAGCCCCCTTTGTATCACCAGAGTGCCCCTGGAGGGAGGGTGGCACACTGCACTCCTCACTGCTTAGGGATGGAGGCCAAGGGAACTCAGCCCTATGTTCTTGAGAATTCCATTTATTTTGCCTCTTGCTCCCTCACACACTCACTTTTGAAGCATATTTATGGTGACACGCTGTGCCAAATTTGTATTTGTTTCCCAAATATACTTTCTTATTTTATTTATTTATTTATTTATTTTTTTGAGACACAGTCTTACTATGTCACCCTTGGTAGAGTGCCACGGCATCACAGCTCACAGCAACCTCAAACTCTTGGGCTTAAGCAATTCTCTTGCTTTAGCCTTCCAAGTAGCTGGGACTACAGGCGCCCACCACAACACATGGCTATTTTTTTTGTTGTTGTTGAGATTGTCATCATTGTTGTTTAGCTTGCCCAGGCTGGGTTTGAACCCACCAGCCTCAAGGAGTGGTGGCAAGGAATGGTTGTGGCTGGCGCCGTAACCACTGTGCTATGGGTGCTGAGACTTTATTCATTTTTTAATGTTTTAACTTTCTTTCCACTAGGTGAAAAGCCAAACTTGTATTTGGTTCCAAAACGTATCATCTTATTTTATTCATTTTTTAATGTTTTAACTTTCTTACCCCTGTTTCTAGCCAAGTGTCAAGGTGGGGCAGGGATGGGGGTCTGCAGGAGGCCAGGCCTAGGGTTGTGTGAGAGGGGGCCCTGGCCTCACACTCACCCATCACAATGCTGTCCATCACTGCCTCACACTTCGGTCCATAGTAAGGGGTGAGGCACTGGCACTTGATTCCATCCCACAAGCCTCCATTGTCACAGATCTGGATCACAGATTCGCACCGGTCTCCTTCGTAGCCAGGGGCACAAACACAGGCCTCTCCTTTCCATTCCCCTCCATTGAAGCAGTTCACTAAAAGGAACAAGGCTATCCTCAGCCACCTATATTTACAGTGTTTTACAGTTTGCAGTGTGTTTTCACAGACACTGTCTAGTTTGATGCTTTCATGAGACCCTGGGGTGCACAGGACAGAGAGTATCATCCCTCCTTTACAGATAGGAGAAGAAAAGCAAAGAGAGGCTAAGAGGATGCCCAGGGGTCCATGTGTAGGCGAGGCTTGACCCAGTCATGGTGTCCTAGTCTAGCATGCTTTAATTTAGCCCCAAAATGGGAGGAAAGAGAAACCTGGTTTGTGAGAGGTGAACAACACAGTCAGGGCGAAGGAACAAAAGACAAGAGATAAGAGTGAGAGAACCCAGGTGAACTCGACCAATCTAGATTCCACCCTGTTTGAGAAAGATCATTGTCATGCCTCCTCACGCCCACTGCAGAAAAGCCTATACTGGATATTGTTACTGTTATGACTGTTGATGATTTCTGTTTTATTTGCTGGGACAAAGAGTTTGAGAGAGGAGTACAGATATTAGTTTTAAAAGGTACTAAGTGATTATAGACAATTCCAGAATATCTGTGATGATCAATATGGAAAATCTAAAGCTCTGGTCTCTGGTTTTTCCTGAAACTTGCATTTCCTGCATAGACCAGGATTCAAGGTGTATTTCGTCTGGGAAGGCAAATGAGGTATATTATGCTCTGCAGAGACCTGCCACACCTCTGCCTTCTGGTCCACCCAGACTGGAATCAGAGCAGTGGCCATACTCATGAACATCATGCAGCCTTTGGTTATAGGTCTTTGGTCCAAGAATGAAGAGAGAAGTCAAAACTCCTGGCCACATTGGCGATCCATAAATCCTAAATCAGTCTCCTGTTCCCTCTCTCATTACCAAAGATGCCCAGATAGGAGCTAAGTATCCAACATTAGCAGGAAGAAGCAAAAACAGCTGCTGGAGAGTGCTCACCCATTGCTCAACAGTCTAAAGGGAAGGCCAACCTCTGGGAACAGGACAGCCTGCCTTCAGAGAGGTGACAGACAACAGATGTGGGCCTATCAGTGGTGTAGCCACTTGATCTTTTCTATGATATTTATGTAACTTTCTGGAAACACAAGGTCCAGATTTGTGACCTGACGATGCTCAGACCACCTGTCTGAGAACCAGAGAGTTCATTGAGACAAAGCCATGTTGGAGGGGAACTAGAGAACAAAACCACAAAGTATAAAGTCCGGGCAAAGTAGAACTCAGCAGAGGAAGAAGTCATGAAGTCTTGAGCAAATGCAGTAGCTAAAAGCTGAAGACCTGCCACCTTCGTCTCCGTCAAGTCAAGATGAAATTGGGCCTTTCGCTGAGCAGACACAGATCATATATCTGCAAACATATCTATAGTCCATGTAAATCAATGCTGTCAAGTATTTTAAATGGAACATGTTTTTTAATGCATTTCAAATATCCATTCTCACCCTGGGAATAATACTTATAGGCAGATCAGTATAGTACATAATATGATATACAGTATACTACAACAGTTAAGTGTGGAGTGGCGCAGATCTCATCCTAACCAGACAGAAGACAGCTCTGTACTCTGAGAAAGAGAGGAGTCTACAAGGACAGAGAAACACTTAAAAGCATGGGGGGAGATTTCAGAGCTGATAAAAGAGAAGAGACCTTTTCCTTCTATGGTGGGTGGTCAGGGGATAAAATGAAACAAAATAAAATTCAGTGGTAGCGGCTCGGCGCCTGTGGCTCAGGCGGCTAAGGCACCAGCCACATACACCTAAGGTGGCGGGTT